CGGTCATTGACCCTCGTGTGGAATATGGCTTTCGCCCGGCGGATCCCGCTGTGGAAGCGAAAGATGTGGTAACTCGATTGTTGCGCCTAAACATCATCGGGCTCCCGGCCATTACGGAAGCTGAGCTTGCCGAACACGGTAGGTTACGTATAGCCGCTTGAAGCGGAACTGACAGAGCATTGCGGTTAAATCGAGCGGTCGAACAATTCTTTTTGTTTGTGACCTCCATAGCAATCCATCGCATTCTTTTCAAGTCGATCTCAGAAGCAGGACCTGTATGTGTCTGGTTATGCGGCAGTTCAACATACTTACCTCACCTGCAATATAAAACAAATTATAACTATTTTTTCCAAACAACAATACATCATACCCGAAAAAAGCAAATGTAACATCAGCGTCACCTCTTTGACAACCCCAGAGGAATGGTTTGCTTCAGAATGGACTTTAGAGCTTAGAGTAGCTTCGTACTCACGAAGAAAAGTCATGACTGACAGACGGTTTCGCAAATCTAGCGCATGAGCACTACCAAAACCAAAATTTCTCCAATCGCAAGTGCGTAGCGCTTTACTGTTCAGCACGATGTTTGCGTCCAACAGTAATGCTAATTCAGCGGTCCAATTCATTGTGACAAATATTTTTTTATAACGTTAGATTCTAGCTCTTCCGCAGAAGACCGCGGCGCTCAGCCGCACCCATCTCACGAAAGACCAGCTTGAAGCGGTAATTAATTGTCTCGCCAAAAACAAAGACATACTTTCGTTTATTCATGTCTCAGCAGAGATACACTTAAAAGTGGCGGTTTGCGGGCACTTTTATACATCTCATCACGAGAGCGCGGAACACCGCCACAATTTCTTTTAACACAGTTTCAGGAACTTAAAGACTCTTTAATAGATATGTGTTCAGCAAATTGATGTGGCTATCGTGGCTTCGTGTTCATGGCAGAAGTGCTTATACTTTTGGGAAAGGCAGGCTCACAACCTACTAATGATCTACCAGGAGTCAATTGTGTGGCACCAAACTTTTTTTCTTTGGAGTCAATCCACGGGTCCATGGCTTTCAAGCTCTGTCATATCTAAGATGAGGTCATACCTTTTATTTAGACCAATGATGATACAGTTTTCTTTACTGTCAACCTATCAATTTGGTTTAAAAGAATTATCGACACTTTCATTAATTCCCTCGTCGTATGACGCACAGTTGGCACTTTCTATACCTTCAGCTCTGTATGCCGCATTAGCCAGTCGAGCATCTAACGAAATTGATCGAACAGGTCTCTCCATATAGCAAGGGACGCTGATGCTAACAGCCAACAACATTAAGATGTTAGCTCCACTTCCTATAATATAAACTCTCACTCAAGAGCGGGGTTAACACCAACAACAACAACCACAAGGTACAAGGTACAACAAAACTCATTTTGTTATTGGAAGGAAGAAAGCAGCTGGAAGTTGACGTCTTCCGCAATTGTTTCACAGGACAGTCTATCGTACCTAGGGAAGGGGGCACACAAGGTGCAGATGTTAAGTAATACCAGAGGTGATGCACTAGAGAGTACCATGAAGCTGCTCGATAGCCAAGAGAGACTTCTCTTTCGCCTCAGCATGGCCAAGGTTCATTGCCTCTGGCACACTCATAGAGCTTCCACTTCCAGCACCCGATCCTGCCCTCGCGACACTCACGTTGTAAGCAGTTTTTAAGGCTATACGCTTTGTATAAATTGTATTTGTGACCGCTTCTAAAGGATGGTCTGATTTATTGCAGGGGTCATCGCTCGTATACATGGACATATTGATGGGTATCGCTTGCAGATAGGTAAGAGCTTTGAGCGCACCATATTCACTCGTTTAGGAAGGGTGAACTTTGCGATATAAGTCGCGAAGCATCTTTAGCTGTTGTGCTGCCTATTCTTCCGTGTGACTTTCTTGCTTTAAGACCACAAACGTAGCGCGATGATGCTCCGTCAGAAGCATGGCCGAATCTATGGCCATTTCAACTTGCCTCATGCAGAGATACTTTTTTCTGGCTCTGTCGTCGACGGGCTGAACATTCAATATCAGCACCCTACCGGTTGCAATCCCACAGATGCCAGGTCGGAACGTTCCTTGCCAGCGCATCGCATAGTAGGTGAACAAACGACTACCACTTCATGCAGCAGGGCTGCCGTAATTTGCGCTTAGAGGTAGCTTTATTGAGGTCACCGACCTTACGTTCTCTACAAGAACCAGTACGAGTATAGCGGGTCGCAATCCGCTATCTCCCAGAGCAGTTAGAACCTATATCGAGGTTAATTAACTCCTCTGTTTAAAATGCAAATTTATTTGTTTTATCTGCAGCAAAGCCGCCTAATTTTAAATGTATAGAATTTCATAGTAAATCTTAATACATGCATATCTTCTGGTACCCAGCGCACGTACCGTATTCTTATTTGGGTGCAGTCACACCATGCCCATCTCGTGTGACACACACTTCTGTTACCAGGGTACGTGTAGCTCGTTACACTTCAAGTCCTCAGACCGCCAATATGTTTTATCCGTTTTGGCCCAATGATTGACAAAAGCCTATGTATCTGGGAAAGGTGAGCAACTCGTGATCTATGCTCACAAGGATGCAGCACCAATTCTCGTGATATAGCTGGACCATAAGCGATAAAAGCTCTCGGTTTGGCTTCTGGCAGAGGCACACGAAGCCAACCTTGGTTCACAAAATCATCGAGTTCGTCTGTGCAAAGTGTACAACAAAAAAATCAAGCGTGGCATAAATTCGGAACCAATTTTCTCAAAGTAATACTAGATGTAGCATCTTTCCGAAATGGCATATTCTCTCATCATTCAAAAGTACTAAAATTTGAATAATAGCATTACACAGAAGTGTAATATGAATTTCCTGCAGTTGGACAATATTGTTTTCTGCTCAATTTTACGATTTTAACAACCCGTCTTACCTATTCTCTTTAGTAAATTCGCGAAACAAAATTTAGAGGAAAGCCTAGATACAAAGTTGGTGTACGACACAAATAACTATGTTGAGATCTGGGCACACGATCCAAATATGCTAAAAGGAATCGCCTCCGACGCTGGTTGGGATGTGTGTGGCCAAACACCATGATTACGCACAGTGATGGCAGCATTGCATAAGTGATAGAATAACGCTCTTTGTGACAAAAAGAGGTCGTGTCGTCTTCTCAAGCCATCCAGTAGATCGGCTCAATATTGAACTCTTTGCAATGATCCATATCCAAATTTGGTCCATACATGACCTTCTTTGTGGATTGAGCTTTGCTTGCGAGACCCAATATTCTCGTTCTTTTGCAATTTGCAGCAGAGTTACCCGCAATGGTGATCACTTTGGTACCTAAATTCCATCTACATCCCCCTGATCCACTTGGGCCTCTACACTTGGGCCTCTATCAAAGCTGGACGCATTTGTTGCTGCTACTCCATTGCATGCGTCTCTGTCGCGAATGTTTTTTCAATCTTGTATGCTCAAAATCACTTCCAAAATCCAATGCCTTCCCCAAACTGAACAGCCACGGTTGTGCGATTGAATACCCACTGCTTCTACAATCCTCTTATGCAAGACTCTTGCTGTTCGCCAGATCAGAATGAAGGCGACAACAGCCAGAAATTAATAAAACAGGAGCTTCGGCTTAAACCAATTAGTGCTACCAAGTGTGATGGGACAGTCTGCCCATGAGTTGCGTGGGCTTCAATCCTTCTAATCCAGTCAGATCTTATCACAACATTGATGAATCGACGAATAATAACCGTAATTGAGTACTTGATCTAAATGCCAGATCACCCAGGCGTTGATAAAATTAAGCGGTTGATAGCATCTTTTGCAACCCCTGGTGAGCTGGATACCACAAGAAAATGTTCCAAGTGACCTTTCTCGCTACTGTAGCAGCGAGCTCAGCAGTGATAAGCCCCTGGTTACTGTCAGGTCAGAGCTGTCTCCGTTTCAAGCACCTGTGCTTCATCGAATATATCATTGTTGCTGCCTCAGCAACAGCAGCCCTGTAGCTTCCCTAGCTGCCTCGAAGTCATCAAGACATACTTGTCGGGCTTTATATTGCAGGACTGCTAAAGGTTTTACTTGGGGTGCGTCCAGTTTGCCACAATTCGTTCACTTCGATTATAGAATGGGCAGCTCGTGGAGTAGTCATTGGATGTAGACCCGAAAGTCTACCTGTGTAGCGAAGTATAGCGAGTGACTGCGCAAAAAATCTCGCCATCTATTTCAAGTACTAGCAGTCAAAAGATAGGGACAGCTTGCGAGCTACCTATTCCTCAAGAGTAATGCATTCGTCTTCAAAATCGATAACTTCAATATAGCATGCAAGACGAATCGCCTCTGCTCGGTCAGAGGGGGTATGTAAGTCAGCTTGAGAATCGGGACATTGTGCGGCAGTGCGTCCGTCACCTTTGTATGATTCGCGACTTTGTCGTAGATTTGATTCAACACCTTATAGCCATCGAGCACAATAGCCAGAACATAGCTGATACACCCGGCGCGAACCGCTTTGACCGACACGTAGTTTCATAGTTAAAAACGTCCAGCTTTGAAAACCGAATTTTATTCTTCGAGAAGGGTGGCATAGCGAGGGATCGTAACCGAGGCCAGTTTCTGTCAGTACATTTTGTCAAACTCCTCAAACTTGGAGAATACATTATCTTCCATTCCGTTCTAACTGTCAAAACTTCTTCAGTTTTAAGTGCCACGATCGCTGTAGTCAGCGGGTAAAGTCCCTTCCTCGATCGTTGTAGTCAGCGGGTAAAGTCCTTCCTCGAGCCCTGCAAAGGAAATCGTCGAGTATATACCTCTCCGTCTACCTAAAGAAGTAGCATTTGACCAAGGAGGGGCATTCTTAACGGCACCAAATTTCTCAAGGCTGACGCTAACCTTTGATGACAAAGAATCGTGCATAGTAGAATGAAGTTGGAACTCATGAAGCAAAACCGTTGTATACTTAAGTTGATGACACAATATGCGCCCTAAGAATGCGAACTGGTATTTCGAAATCTTCACGGGACACTGTAACGGGATGGTACCGTGAAATGATGCACTGTTATATAGGCATCAGAGTAAGCTGATTTCGATAATGCAGAACAAATCATCAACAACTGTCACCCAATTATTTTATATCTGTAAAAGCTCAAAAACTAAACAACGACTCAGGAACCACAAACGATCACCTTATGCTCCACATGATGATAAATCTCACGGTTTTTCGCTAGCCACGTGCTTACCATGACGGTATGAATTAAGATTTTGTCCCTATGGCTTACTATCTGGCATAATTGGTAAATCCACACTCTGGGGGCGACATCTTTTTTGGTATGCAGAGAGAGGATTAACCTAAGAATTAAGAATAGGACCTCATAAGAGTTTTTGTGTAAACATAACTTTCAATACACCTATGGGTTAAATAAATCTCCAAATTGTCGAATTGGCTAAAAATCTACTTTTATGTGTGACAAAACTTGAGAATTTCTGCTTGTAAGTTTTCAAGTTTCAAGTCAGGATTTAAATTTGGCGTGACGAAAGTATGTATGGCTCAATGACATACATAGAGTCGGGTTAGAGTGTAATGAAAAACCCTACAGCACGTGCTTGACATGGCTTACACGGCCCCTAAATAGGGGTATCGTACTCCATCATCTCAATGACATTATTTAAATAGTGTTGACCGTCGAATATATTGACTGATACTTCACCACCCATCGGCATAATAGTGATTTGGCCGATTACAATCTGTATGATGAATACTATTTGATTAAAATCTTATTACAAGATTCCTATCAAATCGCACTCCAGAATAAAGTAAATTAAGCTCTTGCTCCGAGGATAAACACAATGTGTTTTTGGTCTGGTCAGTCATCTTTGCGAATGGTCATTGCATCTATTAGTTCAATACCTCAATCTCCTCTTCTGATGGCATGATTGAACCTATTATCCTCGTCATTGTACTTATCGTAGCTAGCCACTTCATTTGCATATGCAGCATTTCTACTTCGACACAAGTCGCATTTTATATAATAATCTTTGCGATTATGCCGCTTTGTATAGGAATCCTGCTGCCGGTCTTTGCCTTTTTTTGGCATCAAAATAAATTAATGCTTCTTATGCGCCTCACCTTAAGTTATATTCGGAATGTTCAACATAAGTAGCTCGAGTTGAGCCTACACTTCGTCAGCTTTGGTTGGTTTGTTAGGAAAGAATTTGTGGTTGAAAGCCAAGGCAAGCCAACGAGAGAAGAGTCTTTGCTTGCCATGATTAACATAGACTATGTACCCATTGTATTTGTATCTTCCACTTGCTCTTTCAAGAGCTCTATCAAAGCATTTTTCGATACCACACAATGGTAGGATCACAAAATCGTGACATTCAATCTAGCTTTCGACGTAGTCGATGTGCTCGGAAATCATTTCTCTTATTGATCTTAGGTTTCAATTTCATTTTTTATGCATTCTTAGAATACGTGCATGGCTCGCTCCAAAGTTTCACACAATTTAGCTGTGATGTGACAAAATTTGTGGAGTGAACGATACCGTTATTATCGTTCAGCTCACCACCCAAGTTATTAGGGAGAGATGTTTTATCCCACCCCCATCAGTTGCTACAAGAGGCTTGTCATCTGCCACTATTCTCCAAATCCTCATTAAAAATCACAACACCTCAAGTTCATAAAGCTCCTGCATAGTATTCGAATAGCTTGAACATCTTCTGGTGCGCCATTAACGGATCTAAAGATGTAACGTACCTAAAAAAATCTGCATAAACTGCGAGCTCGATTCACAGAGAAAGTATGCTCTTCCTAAAAACGATTTGTAAACGAGCAGATTTCACCGCGCTAGCAGCTCAGATAATGCAGATCATTTATAGTACTGAGCTTATGCAATTTTGACAAAAGACTTCGTATGAGTTCAGTATAGTTTCAGAGTGATGCAAGTTTGGGATTGCAGTTCAGAAAAAAAAAAATAACGCCAAGCAAAACTGCAACAACTGTCGTCCAGAGTGTTGGCATTCATCTATCAAAGCTCCAAAAAATTGGACAACAATAAATTTATCTATAAGCCACAAACGAACAACTTAAGCTTTTTATGATAAAAAATTACGCGAGTCTTTTTCAATGTTGGCGTGGTAACTATTACTTAGAGTATTGCATCCTGTTAGTACTATTTCGTGTGGATAACTTGAAAGATACGTCATCACAATACGTGTTGCTTTACCTACTTATATTGCAGTTCAGTAACATTTCAGATAATCCACTGACGACATCTCACCCATAATAGATTGAAGTTGGATACGTATATTATTACGTAATAATATACGTATTATTACGTAATAATATTACGTCAACACCTTGAGAATACATAATATACGTATTATTAAGTAATAATATTACGTCAACACCTTGAGAATACAACGAATGCAACCTTTTATTTTCCATTTTGCTTCACGTATCCAACTTCAATCTACTTCGCACAATTTCTTTGAGAATGACCGGCTTTCCTTCCATCAAGGTCACGTATTTTGACGGGGCCGGGCGCGCCGAGGACATACGCTTGGCTTTTTACATTGGTGGTGTGCCCTTTGAGGATAAGCGCATCAGCTTTGCGGAATTTAAGGCCATTAAGGGTTCTCTTCCCCTTGGTCAAGTGCCTCTTCTTGAGGTAGACGGGGAGGTATTTACCCAGTCGCACGCTATGATTCGCTTTGCAGGACGCATGGCAGGACTTTACCCGGTGACTATACCGATCTTGACACTCAAAATTGACGAGGTGTTGCACGGTTTGAACGAAATGGGGGAGAAAGTATTCTCCACGTTTAGCGAGTCTGAAGAAGTAAAGAAGAAAGCCCGTGAGGAACTGGCCTCGGACACGATCCCTCGCTATGCTTCTCTTATCGAAGCACGGCTTGAGAAAATGCAACAAATACCAGCCTTTCAATCGAAGGACGTCTTCATCCACGATTTAGCGATCTACACGTGGGTCAAAATGTTACGCGCCGGAAAGATCGACTATATCCCGACTACTGTGCTAGATGGCTACAAGGTGTTGAATAAGATTCACGACAAAGTCGCGAATCATCCAAAGGTGAAGGAGTGGGACGCACTGCCGCACAATATTCCAAAACTCAAGCTGACTTACATGCCCCACCCTGGCCGAGCAGAGGCGATTCGTCTTGCACTCCATATTGGAGGTATTGATTTTGAAGATGAACGCATTACTCGTGAAGAATTGGTAGCCCGCAAGCCGTCGCTACCGTTTCACCAACTGCCAGTACTTGAAGTAGATGGCGAAATTGTCGCGCAGTCACTCGCTATCCTTCGCTACGCTGGCAAACTTTCGGGTCTATATCCAATGACTACTCCACTAGCTGCCTACCGCGTCGACGAGTTGTTTTCGATCATCGACGAGATGTTTAACAATCTGCTCTGGGGAGCGTCGTATCGTGAGAAAGATTCGGAGAAGCAGCTAGCTATGCGCGCCAATTTGTCCACAAGCATCGTACCAAAGACACTTGGCTTTTTGGAGAAAGTGATCTCGAGAAACAAGGGTTCCTATGCGACTGGTGCACACTTGACTGTAGCTGATCTCGCTATTTACGGCGTGCTGCTTGGTTTCAAAGCTGGTATCCCTGGCTTTCCTAAGACCATTGCGGACTCGTACGAAAACTTGCAGCGCGTATTTAAGCTGGTAGCTGAACATCCAAAGGTTATTGAGTGGAACTCTTCTCACAACCAAACGTTAGAGTAGACTAGTGCTACTCAAGCATCATGCATAACCGAAAATGCCCTGACATTAAAAATCATTTATCTTCGCATTATATCATATAAATTTGAAGTAAGATTGTGGTCATACAAAACAGCATTGGTAGATTGAGTCAGCAAAGGTAAGCTCGTCATTCACGTGAGGGACACTGTCAAGAAATGGATGCCAGATCCAAGCCAAGCACTTACCCGTACGAACCGGTGAAACAGTACTCTAGCAAAGTTTGGTCGTCAGGACGAAGCAAATGAAAGGGTAACAGGGCAACGATTTGGCGTCAAGTGGATATATAAGTGTACAGATTCTGCATAAACTATTAGGCAGGCATTTGTCAGCTGGGTGATTTTAATTACGCATGTGATGAGGTGCGTTTTTCTTAAAGACGCACCTTATATAGACCCTTTAAAATTAAATAGCAATGCTGAAAAAGGTTCGCGGTATTCGCCTTGTGCAGAATACACGATTGTACGAAATACTTTGTGTAATTGAGAATATTCAAATGGACCAAGGTAAAGGTTTGAATGAAGACGATTTGACTCCATAAAAGAGAGGTCCGTCGTAACATTGAAGACTACTTGATTATTGGATATAGTGAAACGAATGTTTTAGCATCAGTTATAATATTTTATTTTAGGTCAGCTTAAATTAACAGAACAAGTATAGTTATTTAGCGGCTGTGCGAACGACTTAACCTTTAGGCGCTGTATACTTGTGTTATCTTCGAGTCGAAGATTTTTCGTGCAAAATCACGGCAACCCCCGATGCACTTGAAGGGCTAGTTGTTAATCCAATGACAGAGTCACATGAGACTGTATTGTAATGTGCTACACTTAGCCATTACAAGAAGGTACCTTCTGTGTGCATTGTGGAATAAAAGAAGATTACAGTATGTTGTTCCCAAATGCATCTTGATTTCTTATTGACATTCTGTATGATACAGAATGCTGCTTTCTACTTCGAGATCTGTACTGGTGATGTAAGCCAGTCACTTCCACTGGATACTTTCAATTTTAAGCTTTCCAAGCTCAAGCTCCGATCTCATATCAGTTGAATCTGAGGTTTAACCTTGAATAATTAAATCAAGCACTCAAGGTTTTATCAGTAAAACCTCTAGGAGCCCTTGGGGTTTTTGCATGTAGCTGGAAGCCATAACTCATTTCAATTCAAATGCAAATTTATTTTAAGTTATGAAGTCGCTCTTTACCGAGAATCACTTTCTCATCGCACAAGCGTGTGTGTTATGTTTGAGGGAGTGTTACACCTGGTAGAACTTTGTGCACTTTTTTCAAACGACACTCGATCTTCGTGTGACGACACGGCTGTTGAGCACGTCACGCATTCCAGTCCAAGCCATACTCTTGTTCTTGTACGAGGGATGTGATAGGAGTCGGGGAACCACTCGGTCCATTAGTACCGCAACTGAGATGTTGACGAATGAGATGTTTCTTCATTTGTCTCCACATGACTGAAGGGCACTCAACCGGATACGAGAAGTCATCGGAGAGGATGCATTAGTCAGTTTACCGCAGTCATCTACGCCAGATGACTGGAAGAACGCAGCCGTCAGTTTCAAGCATCATGAATTACTCGGAAGCTGGTCACAACCCTTTTTTCTTCATGCAGAACGGTGCCACTGCAACTCAAAGTGTCTTTGTACTGTGATGGAGAGAACGAGCCTCTCCCACGATAGTTTGCTGAGCTGATTGCAGCAATCTTTGCAGGACAACTACGAGACCCCTTGCAGCGGGTGTTGAGAGCCCCGCCCCTACTGATGGTTCCCGTTTTCTTACCTTCAATAGCGTTCGAATCGACGCCCTTTATAGCGTCCGCAATGATCCAAACGAGCACCATATGTCTATTTCCCGACTCCATAAAGACACTCAGCTGTTCCGGGCAATATGACCTGGCTTCCCACACCGTAAACACTTTCCATCGTTGCGAGTACGCTCATTTACAGGTGTGGAAATGTGCAAAATCTTCATTGACTTTGGACCATCACCTGGAACGGACGACTGGCGTGTTTGCCTTGGTACGAATCCATCGAACTTGGCTTGCTTGATGCTGAACTATTGTTGCATCGCTCGGTTGATGGCATCGTCCAGCGTCTTGACATACGCACGGAACAGCTGATCCCTGGATTGGATTCGATTTTCCGCGTTATAAACATGGAAGTAGTGTCATCCTTGTGTTAGTGGACCGATTTAGCAAGATAATTTATCTTGCGCCTGCTCTGGACAAGATCTCTGCCGAGAAGACACTCATGGTCTTTGTAGACGTTGCTTTTTATCGGCATGACCTTCCTGCTGAAATCTTGTCTGTGTACCGTCAAATTTTTAGCGTGCATTGTTTGGACTGTTAATCGCCAATCGGCCATGCCAACTGCGGAACACCCTGGGATGGACGGTCAAATAAAGCGTGTGAATCGAGTCCTGGCGAACGTACTGCGTAGTTACGCTACATCGCTCAAATAGTGGAGTGAATCTCTCCCTCCTGCAGAATTTGCGCTGAACAACTCCACGCATGTCTTGACAGGTCATTCGCCATTTTTCGTGAGCTATGATATTTCTCCTAGCGTACCTGCTTCCAAAGTGAGCGAGGTCTCTACCTTATGTGTGGAAGGAACTATGGCTATAGAGTCACAATCAGATCTAAATACTGTCACAGACTAAAAGCAAAATTTGACTCAATGAGACCTCTACACAACATGACAAGTCGTGAGAAACAGCACGTCGACGACTTTACTGTAAAGAGACAAGCTGTTGTGCGTTTTTTTTCGCGACGCAATTGTAAATGCTCAGGATCAGCAAAAAGAACAAGCAGATCAGCTCGAAAGGAAGAACAAGAAGGTATATAATGTCGATGATCTTGAACTACTTTGCGCGACAGATTTGCCTGACCATGCAGTGCCCAACTTGGGAGGCAGGAAGCGTTTACCTAGATTTATTGGACCGTTTAGGTGTTGAATTGCGATGGTGATGCGTATACATTAGCCATCCCTTACACGCAAGCGCCTACATCTTACAACTGATGTAGGTAGGCTAAGGTCGTATCTTCCGAATGAATCCGTCGATCATATCATTTCTTTTGTGGATGATCGAGCTGATGATGAAGTTTCTTCATTTTTCCACAGAGAGTAACCAATTTTTCACCCTGAGATTCTTCTTGGCGTACAAGCTGAAGGATTGCTTCTTCACGGATTCCAACGAGTGAAGGCGAGAATTGTACTCACCACGGAATACCCCCATAATAGAATCTTCCTTTTCAACAGAGCGCAACAGGATTTCGTCGCCATCTCACGAGATCTCTTGTCCTCCAAAGCCGAACAAGTTTATCGTGAACCTGCTGAAACCGTAGTTCAAAACGGGACTCCAAAGCCGAGCATTGAGCGGGACCATAAGTCAGAACGTCGAGTATCGAGCTCTACTATGCAACAAGGTTCAAAAGGCTCTCGCAGCGATCTTCAAGCGTCGAGCAACGCTGCTGCAACGCCTCGATTTGCCCGCGATTAGCGCTCTTTTACTTCCAGAGTCGCTCAATCGTGTACACCTTCAACCCTACCTTCGATTTTTGACTCTCGCAGAGAGCGTCGCTGGGTGGCTGAGACATTTGTCGATCACGAGGATCGATCGACTCGTCATCGTGGAAAGCTTCAGCTGAACTATCAACGTTTTTACAGAGTTCGGGGGCGCGGCTATCCATCGGACTCGGACACGTGGAAATTTTGCCATGCCTTACCGTGTAATGACCCCGACGAGGTCCGTAGCACCTGTAATCACTCGTAGTGTTTATTGAGGCAACAGTAAGACGACCAGAGCTTGGTCATTCTCGGTACGCTTCCAGCGTCGACTTCGCGAAGCAGATGCTCTATTTTGTTCGCGTTCTGGGGGCAACAGATTTCCGCCAAGAGTCAAGCTTAGCTGCGATGGGCTGGGTCGGATCATCACGATTGTTGATTCGACGCCACCGAAGAACTGTTCCATGCGAACTTCTTGTCTCCATTTCATTCGAGAATGGAGAAAACGTCAAAGAGTTCTGGAGCCATTCTTTGCCGTTTAGGCGAAGAACGCTCTTCATGTTGGTCTCTTCACTGGATCACTTCATTGTTGATCAAAATGCAAGCTGCTTCAAAAGGTCTGCAAAAGTTCTAGTGATTTTGGCTTTAAGAGGAAGAAATTGATAAGGAAGAGATGTCGTTTGTTGCCCCCCTGCGGCTGTGTATGCCTCTACCCTTACAAATACAGTGGTTGAGTCGAATTGTGGGCCAGTGGGTATAACTGACCACAAAGCTGAAGCCCCCTCCGTTGCGTGGTTGAGCACACGCAAGTGAGGAAATGTATTGATTGCGGCACTGAAACTCCCGCTTTTAATGCGGTTGAGCCTGCGGGGTGAGTTAGCCCAGCTTACTCGCAATGATGGAACTGTAGCATGCGAATAAGCTGGCCCACGTGTTGTGGATGCAACAACAGGTTGTGTAGCTGCCAAAACAGACGTTGTTTTGACACCGTTACCGACGACGGAAGAGCTGGTGCCGCTTGAAGAAGTCGCCAATGATGACTTTTTACATGGTTTTAATTGAGATGGTATTGCAGAGGACGTATTGCTCCAGTCGAAGGTTGATTCGGCAGAACTAAGCTCATCATTAGTTATAGATAATTCTATTCCCAGAAATTTTTGGCAGCGTGTGATATCACCCAGAGGGTCTGCAATCCCAAAATTTCATCTATTATTATTGCTTACTTGTTATGAAATACATGGATGATGTCCATTGTGCGAAGCCGTCCTCTGGTCCTCCAACCGATCTTGGAATTCGACGCGAAATTGATCGTGAACCTGGTTTAAAGCATGCAGTTCTTCGACAGTGGCCATTGTCGCGTGAGCAATGTGATTATATCGATGTGTTCTTTGCTCAAAAGCAAGCTGCTGGTTTCGTGAGGAAGAGCGAGTCCCCTCACAGCACATCGACGTTTTGTGTACGTCAACCAAATAGT